ACCTGCTGAAGCTTTACATAACTGATCTCACCTAATACATCAACATGTTTGTCTTATATAAAGACCCACAAAGCACAGTACATAGAATAAAAAGCAACAGTCTCCCTTGAGCTTTCAATCCTATTTTCCTTCTCAGAGATAACATGTTAGTTAATTGGATATGTGCCCTTCTCAGTCCTTCTCAAACTCTGGAAGGTTAGAATAATGCCTTTTATAGAGGAGATCAAGGGTCACCTCTTTTAAGAGGCCTAATTGCCACCCCAGCCCCTGGAAGGACTGGCCACTTCCGCCTTCCTGCCCACTGGACCCATACACACTTCTGCATAGCTGTGGTGCTTGTTTGCATTTCTTTACTTACATCTATGCTTCCTCTCTCAATAGCAACTGGTTTAAGGAGTCCCTGGGTGGCACAAACGGTTAAGCGCTCAGCTAAAGCACCCAGTTACTAACTAAAAGGTTAGCAGTTTGAATCCACCCAGAGGAACCTTGAGAGAAAGGCCCAGCAATATACTTCCAAAAGATCACAGCCATTGAAAACCCTACAGAGCGCAGTTCTACTCTGAAACACAGGGGGTCACCATGAGTCAGAATTGACTCCACGGCAACTGGCTATACTTCTTCAAGGAAAGACTATATTTTATTTATTTAATTCCCCAATGCCCAGCACAGTGCCTGATCCATAAGTAGACTTCATGAAATATTTGTTGAATGAACGAGTAAACTGAGGCTCAGAAATGCTTGGTAACTTTGGTAAAACTCAAACCCATGTCTTTCTTGCTCCAAAGCCCATGCTCTTTCCAGTATAATATTCCCTCTCCCAGACTCTCCTGAAGGTGGTTTAGGATGGACATGACAACCTCTTAAGGAACCTCATGGCCCTAAAGCCTATGACTATGAGCCCCATGGTCCAACAGGAGAAGTAACTGTATCACAGTTCTCAGGCAAATGCCTGACAGCCTCAGAGGGTTCAAAAAACTAGATTTGACTGGGAGGAGAGGTAGGCCTTCCTTTAAAGCTCCACTTCTCTCCCTCTACCATCCTTGAAAGCTCAGGGAGGCAGTACTTTCTGGGTAGGATCCCCTACAGACCAGCTCCTCTGGGTCTTTGTGATGGGGGACAACCACGTTGGCCAGGGTTTGGCCAAATGGGCTTTTCTGAGTTCAGCAGAGCCATGCCCTTCTGGCAGCTGGGATGTGTCCTCAACATCCTATACTCCTAGACAATCTACTTGTCCCCCTGGATGGGCCCACTGAGAATACAAACAAGAGGGACCAACCCTCTTCTGTCCCAGGCCCCAGTCTCCAGCCTGGCTTCTATCCTTTCCCAGGTGGACTCTAACTTTCCCACCCAGACTCATGGATGGGAAGGAAGAAGGAGTTCTGATCCAACTGGGGTTTTAGGATCCTCAGCCTTAGCAACACTTCCTCTAAACTCATCAGATTCCAGGAGCACTTTGCCTTTGGCAAACTTAAGAGTAATTGCTCTAGATGTTTCAAAAAAACCTTTTCCTAAGGAACAGGGAAAAAAACTCAACACCTTCCCTCAAAACTGGTGGTCACACTTGACCCCTCCTCTTCCTCATCCCCTACACTATCAGTCACCAAGACTACAGAATCTACCTCGATCACTCAAGTCGGATACTCTTCTCTATCCCCACTGCTTCTACCCGTTCAGGCCGCCATCCGTCTGCTTGGATTACTACAATAGCCCCCTGACTATTCTCCCCACAGCTAGCCTTGCTACACTTCAAAGCGTTCTCCATAAGTAAAGAATTTTGAAATCTATTCCTATCTCCCTAATCAAACTGCTTCACTGCCCTTAGACTGAAGTTCACATTCCCTAGCATGGCTCACAAGGACATATGTAACCTGGTCCCTGCTTACCTCTCCTGCTGCTTTACAACACTCACCCCACTCCGGTCTTATTCCCTAAATGTGCCATTATCTCTCCAGCCTTCCTTTCCCCTTACTCCTACTAAAACGTCACCTGTTGCTGCCCCACCCCCCATGACTTATTGGCTCCCCTAGCACACTGTACTGGCCTTTACTGAGCTTCTCAAACTGCACTGTCATTGTCTGGCTTCTTGGCCATTTCCTCCAGTAGATTAGAGTTCCTTGGGGCTGAGATTGTATACCACTCACTGCTGGATCCCAGGGCCACACAGCAAGTGCTCAACAAATGTTTGTTTAATGGATAAGGTTGGTGGAAGGATAGATGATGGAAGGACAGGATGCTTCTCTCAGGCCTGCTGAGCATTTCTGTTAGGCCCCAAGTCTATCATACTTCCATGGCTTACCCCTACTCCTGATGGAACCTGATCTAGCAGCTACAGGGACACATGAAGAAGGTGCAAGCCAAGCATTCTGGACACACACGATGTTAGAGGGAAACCCGAGGGGCTGGCTCTCCCTGGAGCCTTTTGAACAGGCCATGGAGAGGAGCCAGGGGGCCTGGCCCCATCCATATGCAAGAAGAGAACAGATGGCCAGCCAGCTCCCTTAGAGCTCCCTAAGGACAGGCAACGTGTGGACACAGTTGATGGATGGCCTGACGGGCAGGGTGGCCGCCAGGAACTGTCCCTGTGGAGCTAGAGTCATCAGGGTACCCCACCCAGAAGCCTGGAGGAAGCAAGAAGACTCTTTTCTTGGCGTGGAACTAGGATTACAACTATTGCCAAGAAAAGAAGCAGAAGGAAGAGTGGGAGGAAGAAGAGGAGGAGATAGAGGAGGACCACAGAAGAAGCTGCAGCACTCCCATGCGAGGCTCCCAGAATCTGCCCCAGGAAGCTGGAAAATGCTGGGTTCACCCTGCTCCTCTCTGCTTCTGGCATGAGGACTCCCCCCAACCCTATGTTTCTTCTTGGCCTGTCAGATCATTCTAGGAGACTCATGGTGATCAGGTTTTCTACTATGTCCCTGCCAGATCCCCCAGGCTAATACCTGGGGAAGAAGTCCTCTGGGCACCAGCTAGGCTTGCCGCATGGGGGCTGGAGGGAGCCAGTGTTTCAAGGATATCAGCTGTAACTTGGAATCCACCAGGGCCTCCAAAGGTGAATCATCCACTTCCCCAGGGATGGGGTAGCAGCAGCTAGTTGGGAAAGGTGAATGGCTGGGAAAGGTGAGACGCCAGGATGATCCCTGTGCTATAAAGAAAAAACTAAACAGCATCTGGGATGCCAGGCCCAGGGCCCCACAGAGGCCTGTGCTGTGGTTCAGCAGGAGCTGGCAACAATCCCCTGGGAGAGTCTTTAAGAGAAAGAAAATTCCATCTGTTAAAAGCAGTGTTAGCCTGGGAGAAAGTAGAGGTAGCAACATGTTAAGGTCTTTGGTTCTGAGATAAGGACCTTCCTGTTTTCTTCCCCCTCTCAGTCATGGTTCCCTGAGTTCAGTCTAGCCTGGTAGGCTGACACACAGTAGGTGTTCAGTGTGTTTTTCTGGAATTAGTGAGGCCAGGTCCTTCCCTGGATTCCACAACAGGCTCCCTCCCACTCCTTGCCACTCTCTGACTAGCAAAGCTGCCTGAACCTAACCAACCCCAGCATAAAGGAAGGCCTGGAACCCAACTCCAGTGCCTCCTGCCAGGGTCTGACCTAGCAGCTCCCAGCCCCCAGGCCCGAGTGATAGGCTGTTAGGTTGACAGCCACCCTGAGCATCCACTTCCCCTCCCTGGGAGAGAGCTGGGGCTGGGACTCTGCCTGCTTCCGGAGCATTTCCTCCCATTTCTGACTTTACACATCTGGCAGGTCACTTAGTGCTGAAAAGTCTTGGTCAGGCTGTACGCTAGTCAGGCTATAGTCCTAGAACCCACAGCTTGGAGAGTTGGATGGCCAGAGGTCACCTTGTCCTTCATGTGCTGTCCCCAGGCAGGACATTCTAAACTGATATGTAGCCACCATATCAAAAGACCCCTGGGGTGAGAGACCTTGGATTCCCTGTGGAGATCTGCTCATATGTCTATTCTAAATCTCTTTTGCTCCTGCCTTTTTGTTGGAGTCCAAGGAATAGTCAGGATATACTATCTCTGTAGGTTTGATTCCTGTCTGTTTTCCAGGACCACACTCTTCCTTCTTCCAGAAGAGGTAACAAAGATTCTTAGAGCTCAAGTGATCTTTATAAAGCATATATCAAATCCGGTCACTCCCTGCTTCAAATCCTGCAATGGCTTCCCATTTCACTGAGATAAAATGAAAACTCCCACCATGATTTACACAGTCCTGTACGACCTGGCCCTCCTTATCTCTACAACCTCACCTGGTATTCAACTCTTCACTCACTCAGGGGCAACAGAGGCTTTGACCTGAGGTTATCTCCCCAGGAGCTATAACCATAGCAGCTGTCCCTCCCAGATGTTTCCATGGCAGCCCTTATTTGAAATAATTTGTCTTCTTTTCACCTAGAATTCTAAATAACACAGAAATCCTATATTTTAGTATCCAGACTGTCTCTCATATCTGGAGGTAGCATATGTTAGCCCACATGCCCAAATTTGGGGCTTCGGAAATATGGTCCCCAAGCCCCTAACCCATCCTTGTATCATCAAGCTCAACACTTCCACAGCAGTTATCAACCAGTATCAGACCCCTCTTGGGGCCCCAGAGATTAGGCAGAACCTGGTCTAGGGCAGCACCCTCAAGAAAAGCATTATGCTGGAATTCAACCAAGTCAATCCAACAGATGCGGAAAACAGAGAGAAGGCTGAGAATTCTACCACGATGAGTCCGTGGGGACTTGTCTTCAGCTCTTGGACAAGCTACAGAGGCCAAGGTGTGACTGCTTTAATGGGCATCTGGCATGGGGGTACCCTCTCCTGAGGTCGTCCCTCTCCACAGGCTAGGTAAGTGGTCCCTGGAGCCCAGGGAGTGGCACAGCTTCCCCACTCACACGCTCGCTAGGCTCTGACTGTGGCCATTGGGCACCCTAATCACCCATCTAAGTACAGCAGCAGGAGATGCCAGCATTCCGGGGCCCTGCTCATCCCCCATGGCCCAGGCAAACACTCACATCAGCTGGCTCCCTGCGGGGTCCCTCGCCGCTTCGCAGCCAGCTCTGGCTCAGCTCGCTGAGCTCTGGGATGGGTTGCACCTTGAGCTGCACACTGTCCCCAGACTGCCGGATCATTTCCACAATCTCATCCCTGGACTTACTCTCCACATTGTGCCCATTTATCTCCACCAGCCGGTCGCCCGGCACCAGCCCCAGGGCCAGGTCCTTGGTGCCTGCACCAGGCTCAGCAAAGTGAACCACCCGCCGATAGGCTTGGCCCTCGGGACCCCGATCCAGCATGGTAGTTCGCCGCAGGGAGAAGCCAAAGTCTCCAGTAGGCCGGCGTTGCAGCTCCAGCTCCCGGAGGGCAGGAGGTGGTGGGGATACCACGGGGGGCAGGCGTAGGTCCGCTGGGAACCTTTTAGTCACCAGTTCAGGGGCTCGGGACCGGGGCCCTGGCCGAGGGATGCCAGGGCCAGGATGCTGCATCAGCTGGCCCTCTAGAGTCCTCACCTCCACCTGCGGGGATGGGGCGGCTGAGTGCTCTGATGGGGTGGAGGTTTCCGAGGCACTCTCGTCCCGGCTACGCTGAGAGAAGGAGAAGCGCTTGACAATCATCTGGGAGTTCTGCTTGGCTAGGGAGCCGAACTTGGCTGCCCGCTGCAGCACAGAGCCGCGGAAGCTGCCTTCCTCGCCCTTGAGGTCATCGCTAGAGCTGGCTGTGCTCAGGTGGCCTGAGTCCAGGATGACGCTGCCCCGGTTGCTGTCGGAGTCAATGTCAGTCAGGTGCAGGTCGGAGCCGCTGGCCACCTTGATGGGGATGGGGTTGGAGATTTCCAGGCGTGTCTTAGATTCACGCTTGGAGGAGCGGTTCAGGTTGAAGAAGCCACGTCGTAGGCTCATCTCCTCCAGGCTCCGCAGCTCCGCTGCTGACATCCGCTCCTTCTTCTCCTTTTTCTCCTTCTTCTCCTTCCGCCCTCCATCTTTGTCCTTGTCTTTCTTCATTAGGTTAAACATGGTGGGGGTGCTGCTTTTAGGGGGGGCACCCTCAGAGGATTATGGGTGATTAGCACAGGGTCTTCGTACCCCACCTTGCTGCTGCAAATAAACACACAAAGAGGGAGAAAGGTTATTCAAGCAGAGCCTCTTCCTGTGTCTCTAGGCCAGACCTGGCCAAATACAAAACACCAAACCAAAAACCCAAAACTCATTGCTGTCCAGTCGATTCCAACTCACAGCAACCCTATAGGACAGAGATGAACTGCCCCATAGGGTTTCTAAGGCTGTAATCTTTAAGGAAGCAGGTTGCTACATCTTTCTCCTGCAGAGTGGCTGGTGGGTTCGAACCTCCAACCTTTTGGTTAGCAGCCGAGTGCTTAACCACTGTACCACCAGGCCTCCTATGCTAAATACAGCTACCCCATACTGAGTGCTAGCTATGTGCAAGGCACTCTGCTTTACACAATACTGCCCCAGTTAATGAATCCTTATAACATTTCTATAGGTAAGTATTTCTATTACCCGCACTGTACAAATAAGGAAACTTGAGACTTAGATACAGTTACAAAAGCCCAGACTCCTAGGCCTGTCCTTTCCTTTAAACCCTGATAGACCAAGGCTTAGGTATGGCTGGAGGTGGCATCTGGGAGACCTGACCTCCTGGCAAGGGGATACATTAAGCCAACCTGGGACCTGACTTAAGATTCAAACACAAAGGAGAAAGGAAAGGGACTCCCACCATCACCTCCTCACAGCCAACATCCACTGAGGCAACAGATACCAAATGCTGCTAGGCTCTTTCCTAAGCCCGTTATCTCTGAAGCATCATCCTTAGCCACCACCTAACAGAAGACCTCAAGGAACCAACATTCCTTTAATGACTATTACCCACCAGGCACTTTCCATACATTATCCTGTTTGAACTTCCCAGCCTGTAAGGTAGGTATCATTATCTCCACTGGACAAACAAGGAAAATGGGGCTCAGAAAATTAAGTATGTGTTAACTGTCACACAGCTAATAGGTGGCATTGCTGGGATTCAAGGGCAAATACTGTGTCCTTTCTGGGGCCTGGGAGTCCAAAGTGAAGGGAGGAGGGAAGGAAGGGGAAGTTCCAAACTGAACAGAGGACAGACAGCTGTGAGGTGGGGGTGGGGGGCTGGTGGATAAACAGGATCCTGAAAAACTCACATCCTTTTCCCTAGACTAACACCTAAATATAGCCTCGGGAAGAAAGCTGTGGCAGTCTGAGAGAGAACCCCAGCTCCAGGGCACCATGCCTAGGTGCCAACCTACTCCTACCCCTATACACATCCCATTGGGGACAGACTGAAAAAGCCTGGTGGGGGTGGAACTGAGACAGCCTTTCTTGTTCTAACCAGCCGGGAACAAGAAGTATAAGTAGGCCAAACCACCTAATTAGAAATTAAATTCTAGTTTTTTCTCTCTCCATAAAGGGCCCCCACTCTGAGTTCCAGACAAGCTTACCCCCTTCTTGCAATGACCTCTGCCAGACCCTGGACAGACTTTCCTCTCTGTGCATCCCACCCCTGTCACCAAGCAGGGCCCCCTAGCCATCCCATTCGACCATGAGTGACTCCCATCCCAACTACAATGCAAGGGAGGCAAGAAGGCCAGGAACTCCCGAGGACCCTGGTACACTGGCTAAGTGCTTCCCCCTTATCCAGCATCCTGACCTACATGCTTCCTGGGAGACCAACGCATCTTCTTTTAGAGCAGTGCTGTCTGCAAGAAATATAATTCCAGCCACGTATGTAATTTTAAAATTTCCAGTGGCCACATTAAGAAAGGTAAAAAGAAACAGGTGAAATTAACTTTAATAATATATTTATTTAACACATATATCCAAAATATTGTCATTTCAACATGTAATCAGTATAAAAAAAATTGAGATATTTTGCATTCTCATGTCCATATTGTCTTCAAAATTTGGTGTGTACTTACAGTATATCTCAATTCAGACTAACCACATTTCAAGTGATCAGTAGCCATGTGTGACTCCCTCCAGTGATTCCAACTCATGGCAACCCCATGTGTGTCAGAGTGGAACTGTGCTCCACAGGGTTTTCAATGGTTGATTTTTTGGAAGTAGATTGCCAAGACTTTCTTCCAGGGTGCCTCTGGGTTGACTCAAACTGCCAACCTTAAGCATTTATGCCACCCAGGGACTCCCATGTGTGAATAGTAGCTGTCACATTGGACTGTGCAATTCTAGAGAAATCTTTAGTTGTGAAGCATTAGATTTAGTTGTGGGAATTCTGGCCTATTCACTGGCTCCCTCTGGTCTTAGTATTAGTCCCTTTCCCTCTCTGACCTAAGTTTCTACCTGGCAAAACAAAGTTCCCTAAACGCTCCATGCTCAGTACCTGACAGTTGAGGGACAGGAGATCTAGGGCCCAAGAAGTGCCAAGGCAGGGCCAGCTGGATCTGGACTGATGTGGGCTGGGGGAGTACCTGCCAGCTCTCAGCTTCTCCTCAGGGCTGTATTTGGCATGAGGAGCCTCCCTCTCCTCCTGAACATGGATGGGGGTTTAGCACAGGCCAGCCATATACTAGTACGCAGGACTTAGTCATGCACCTATTATAGGGCAAGCAACTGCACCACATTCACACCAAACCAGGAGCCTTCCTCATCCTCCTCCCTTGGCAAGGTGTCCACAGCATCTTTAGCTGGTCACTGCCCACCTCACTCATCACCCACCACCACCCACAGTCTCAAAGGGCTGGTTTAGAAGATGGCTCCAGGGGCATCTGTGGCAGAAATGAAGAAAGAAATCTGCCTCGAGGACTTGGAGGGGACAAACGAGTATACTGGCCTTAGTCCAACCACACAGGACTCGACTAACTACAATGCTGCCCCACCAAGACACCTTTTTGGGTCTCCAGTTCTCACTCTGCAGTCCTTACCCAAGTCGGGCTCTTTACTGGAGCCTGGATATCTGAGCAGTATCAACGGAAAACAGCCCCAGAAATTCTAGAATTTTTGAGCTGGAAAAGCCCCTGAGAAGTAACTTCATTTAAATCCCTGCCTCAGCAGCAGCCTGCCTACCTGCCCCTCACTGGCACTAAGAGGCAGGAATAACAGTCACAACAGCAGCATAGGGAATGGTGCTTGCTGGGGAATTTTAGGAGATCTGGTATCTAGGCCTGGATCTGCCAACAAATCGCTGGGGAACCTTGAACCTGTCACTTTGCTCAAGGTTGGACTAGATGATCTAGGTCTCTTCTAGCTCTAAAATTCCAAATTTCTAAGTCTCTTGTGAATACAGCTTAGTTATTAACCTTCTGCCAAAGGCACCCCTCTCATTCCAACCCGGAGGCCTCAGAGACTGAATCCATGTCAGCCCTTCCCTCCTCCCCATCCTGTCCTGCCACTGTTACCTGCACAGCTCACAAGGTACCCCCTTCCCCACCATCAGCCCACAATTGCCACATCTGCCCATGGCCTTGGTTCTCTCCTGCACCACAGGTCTGGAGCCACCTCTGCCTGTAGGCTCCCTCTCCAGGACTGGCTCTGCAATGGAGCTGCAGCTGCCCCTATGTTCCTCAGCCCCCAATTCACCAGAGACCTGGGCTCTGTCACCTCCTTGCAGACCTTGCACTTCCCAGTGTCTCCAGTCCTCAGGTCCAAAGTCCCCAGCAGCTGGGACACGTACCCCCTCCCATTCTAGGCTGCAGTATCTACGTGCCTCTTCTTCTTCTCTTACCCTCTCATTCCAGAGAAGGCAGCCTTACAGTTTTTCTGATCTTTACCTTTTTCCCTCACACTACTCAGGATGCATTCACTAATTTTAGGTAGAGGAAATGTATGTGCATAACTTAGGGTATGCACCTAAATTATCTTGATCCTACTATCTCCTAAACCAAAGCAAAGAACAATCTGTCAACTTAGCTGCTTTGTCACTGTACAACAGTAAGCATCTTTAGGGCAGGGACCATTCAACTCAAATACGCATTGATTTGTCCATCAACAGGAGAATGGATAAACAAATTGTACATGTTCATACAACGGAATACTACTCAGCAATAAAAAGTATATGCACAACATTGATACCCACAACAACAGGGATGAATCTTAAAAACATTATGCCAAGTGAGAATGAAAGAAGCCTTTTATCATAAGAAAATATATTGTATGATTCCATTTATATGCAGTTCTAGTACAGGTAAAACTATGTTGGAAAAAAATCAGAACAGTGGTTACCACCGGGAAATGGGGGTTGGGAAATGACTGAGAAAGGGCATGAGGGAACTTTCTGGGGTGATGTTCATGTTCTGTATCTTGACAGGGGTTTGGGATGCACAGGTGTATGCATCTGTCAACACTCACTGAATAATGCAAGTAAGATCTGTGAATTTCATTGTATGTAAATATTAACTCAAAAAAAGAACTATAAACAAATATTGAATGCTAGTTAATGATATACAAGCTGAAGTATTTGGGAGAAAGTAAACTGATGTCTCCTCAGCAGTTTACTTTGAGATACATTAAAAGTTTAAGATGGATTGATGGATTGAGGGATTAATATATAATAAAGTAAAATGTTAATTGTAGAATCTAAGAGGTAGGGGTGGTCACTGTAAAACTCTGACTTTTCTGAATGTTTAAAAGTTTTGTGATAAAATGTTGGAAAAAAAAATATCAATCAAACACCTACTAAGTGTGAGGGATATAAAGATAAATAAAACTAGCAAAAGAGCTCAGGCTTCGAATATCTGGTAACAAACCCAGGAACAGATCCCAGTTAACAGCGGTGCAATCTTGGGCAAGTCACTTAACACATCTATGCTTCTATTTCCCCACCTGTAAAATGGAGGTAATAATAGCACCTACCTCATGAGTCATGGAAATTAAATGACATCATGTATACAAACCACTCATGTAACGACTAGCCCATAGTAGGACGTCAAGAATGGTACCTGATAGTAGCAGGGCACGATCTTTACCATTTAAATGGGATAGTAGAAAGGATAGTACACAAATGACTGTCAGCACAAGTATGACTAAAATAAGTCAAGACATAAAATCTTAATGCTGGAAAGGACTTTTGTAAATGGAAACTAAAGCCCAAAGAAGTG